GGGGGGGGTGCGTTTAATGCCTATAGACACTGCAAACGCGGATCTGATGGGATTCAGGTTTAAATCATTTTTGTGTACGAGTATGCCTATATTAAACTACAAGGCACATTAGCAGATATGTTGATGGTTCAGAATCTTTCCACTTTTTGTGAGGAACTGAGTAGGTCCAAATCTTTTTTCACACTAAAACATGTGCTCAGAGTAGAACTTGTGGCTTCTGATATGGCTAATAATATGCCTGTAGTCAATTCTGACAGAGAAAATGTTGCCGTATTTGAAAATTCAAAAGCTGCACTACCACGTGTGGATGTACAGGTTGCGGCATCTCTCTTGGTTACAGTGTTTTCTATTTGTGAAACCTCATAGTTTAACTTGCTGCCCACTGTGATTGCTGCTCTCCAGCTAGGTCTGTCTGAAGCTAGGCTCTCCCATGTCGAAGGATTTATGTCAAAGTCCTTTCCTTCAGACACATTTTCAAGGACTTTTTGTAGCATTTTTCCTTTTGGTGCGCCAACTTTACTCTCACCTGATGACAGTTCTGAATAAGAATATGGCCTTTGGGATTCTGAATTCAGGCATTCTTCCATGACCAGCCCAGCGAAGTAAAGTCCGTATAATTTTAACGCCATACTAATTGCAGTAGTGCTTCTAGTGATAGTTTAGATTTCGACATTTGTCTAGCATGTGTAAGGAATGAGCTTTTAGTTTAAGATCATATTAAACTCCAGGCAATTTACGGCACTCACCACTTGAAATATCCGCTACTCTGCACGGTATAAGTTTTCACAAACGGTTTTTAAATGTCGACGGTTAGAGTTTACCCAGAAACACAAGCATTACCACAGTGTAAATTTTCACATACCATTTAATAAGTATTGAAAATGTTTACCCCGAAATACATCTATCACCACCAAGTACGTTTTCACATACTATTTAAAACTATTGAAGGTTTACCGTAGGGTAAATCTTAAACCACTTTTATTCTTTGTCCCCAGATGTAAAATAAGTTGTACTGCTGTTGACTGAAACCTTGCAGAGTGATGAAGATGGTTTTCGGTTGTTGTTTTTTTAAGCGGGGTGATTTGATTCCCTTTAGGACTCGGAGTGTTTGCAGCAGGGGGATTGGATAGTGGG